CAACAATTGGAAACAATGAGTACGTACCGTTTGATAATCATCATAAAAAAGACCCTCTTCTTGAGCGAAATCGGCCATTCTCTCGGAATCCGGACAGAGGTTCGACGGTTTTTTAGTGAAAACCAAAGAAAAGTTTTTTGGAGGCAGATCGGACTTAGGCCGCAACCAACAAAAAAACTAATTCTAAGGTTGGGTGGGGAGGGGTTGGGTAGAGAGAAGTTAGAGGGAGAGAGGGGAGTGTGGTGGATGGTGTGCAGAAATGAGGGGGTGGGGGGGGGGGGGGGGGGGTTTATATAGCCTTCAAACCGCGTGGGGGAGGGTCGGTTTGGTAAATTCTCGCAACCAAAAACCGCGCCCCCAGCACGCGGTTTCCTTATCCCGATGGTCAAACCGCGCCTCGGGAGGGCGGTTTGCTTTTTCCAACGGTCAAACCGCGCCTCGGGGGAGCGGTTTTTGTGGGGTGACGCGGATCGCTTACTTGGCAGCCAGTTTAGCCGTCAGATCGCTCCTCGGAAGGGCGGTTTGATGCACCGCCACCTGGCAAAGCGGTTTGACAGCCATGCATGGTCAAACCGCGCCTTGGGGGCGCGTTTTTAGCTTTAACCGCCGCCTGGGAGCGCGGTTTTTTTATAAACCGCTCCTTAGAGGCGCGGTTTTAAATTAAGGGTGGTATTTTTGGAAATTCTATGGAGTGGGTGGTATTTTTGTAATTTTTTTTTAAACAGTGGTAGTTTTGGATTTTTTCCTGGCTATTAGCTAGTGATGTGAGAGTCGGAAAATGTTATTAAATAAGAAGTTTAGAACACTACTCGTGACATGGAATGCTGTTTTGTCTTTACACATGCAAAACACTTGCCCAAGTCCCTTGTCCCTTTAGGGAGGCTTTTTTTTCCATCTCCTTTCCAATATTTCAGTTGAAGTATGATCTAAAGCTAATTTGGCGATATCCCATGCTGATGCATGTAGTTGCAATTCCTGACTCGAGAAAGTTTAATCCTGATCCCAAGAACTCTTTCACATGGGTGGATTCCAAACATACCATGTTGATAATCATCTTTCTTTCCCTGGATTTCTTCTTCTCTCCCTCTATCTTGTTTCAAACATATTTCTTTTGATCATATCCATAACGAGGAGATCTTACGGGGCTAAGTTTAGGATCCCATTTAACTATGTTCGCTTACTTAATATATCCAATCAACCAACACAAACTCTCAGTTGGGACGCTTAAATTATTGATCCACAAATAAAAAAGAGAGAGGATGATAATTACATGAAAGTTTCGAACCGGAATAATGGTGTCATACAAGATCATGATAGAAGATCAGACTCTTGGAAAAAAAAAGTCGAGAGAGTAGTACTTATTTCGAGTTCAGAGCAATTTGTGAGGCACTCATTGCAGATCGATCGAATTGTTTCCGCTCGTCCTTACTGCCACTCTATCAATTACGATATCCACAATTTTTTCGCATGGATAATAAAAAACTAGCTAGACCAGCTACTTTTATCGAAAGTATGAATTCTACTAACTATTACATTTTTTTTTACCTCAACTGATTATTACATTTTCAATTGCTCATCAATAATAGCTTTTCAATCCATGGATCTTCAAGTTTTGTCATAATAAGAATCCTCGTTCATCTTCAAATTCAATCACCCAAGAAACTACACTTCATCAAAAGTCAAAACACACATTGACCGGTCTTGATCCCACTTGGAGAAGATGACTCCACATTGGTACACAATGAGGTGAAACTAGTGATGACGAAAATGGAAAAAGGAAGGTAAAAGGACAAAAGAAAAAGGAAGTGATAAATCACAAGGTGTAGAGCACTCATGTGATGATGCAACAAGAAAATATTTTTCTCAACTGGGTTTGGATTACAGCTAAACACCAAGCAAGATGGTGGAGATGTTCATTAACAGAAAGTCAAGATTAACGAAAAGGAAAGACAGCAACACCAACAAAATATATGCGCGTTATGAACTGGTTCGATCGGGACCCTTTACTATGTAACAACAACATGGGTAGTGATGTTGTTTCATTCATACGAAAACATACATAAATAAGACAAAAATGCATGTTATTAGTTAGATATATATCTTTCATAATCCTTTGACCTTCCAAAGAGAGACCAAGACCTAGAAATGCGCTCAAATATTTCAACACGGTAGCTGGATGCATGGAGTTTGATTTCTTTAGTTAATCAAAAGCCATCAAGATTAAGGACTTTAGAAGAGTTAAGGTGCGAGTCCGGATAGATCCGATCCAAAAATAAAGAAAATTTGAGCATCATAACCGAATCTGAAATATATTTGGTCCGAGCCAAATATTAATTTGCATCGTGTCCTTTTTAATATTCAGAAAGTTTATGATATTGATGATCAGACCACATTATATTCGACATGGGGAAAAAAGGTTGATTTGGTGCTCCTATTGATTCACACCCGGCCCCTTATCACAACAATCATCATTCATTGAGCTTAATAATTGGCTCGTTCATACTTTTCATTTATGGCTTTATTGTTACACTCTGGAATATTAGGGTGGTGATCGTGTTTGAGTTAAGGCACGAAACATATTCGTTTTAGAATGTAAGCTAGACTTCTTACAATCAGTGAGACGATCAGGTCAGACTATACTGTCTCACATGTAAAATTTAATACAAAATTAGCAAAGTGAGATTTTCTAAAATCTGCTATCTATTGTCGAGATTGTGGAAAATGTGTATCTCTAACCTATATCACAACTTGAGCTCATAATCGCTCAACGATACGCAAATTTTACTAAATCCATCCTATTATGATATGAGGGACCTCCTACCACGCCTTGAATTTACTAGAACTTGACATTTTTGACCTGCTATAGTAGGTTTTATAGGTCGCATTACGTAAAACTAATGTTTATTACGTAACAATTACGTAATGCTTGTTAGTCTTACGTAACAGTTAAACTAGAAGCGTTACGGAATGTTTCCGTAACGCCTTATCATTTTACGTAACGCTAGGTAAATATTCATTACGTAAAAGCATTGTCTATTACGTAAGGCTTCCGTAATGACATTTTACAACGGTTACATAAAATACACACTCATTACGTAAAGATTACATAACGAAGGTTATTTTTTACGTAACAGTTAAATTAGAAGCGTTACGTAAGACTTTCGTAATGACTTACCACATTACGTAACTTGATTAATATTCATTGCGTAAAAGGACCATCCATTACGTAAGGCTTCCGTTATGACACTTTACAACGGTTACGTATAGTATGCATCTATTACGTAAAGGTTACGTAACGATAGTTATTTATTACGCAATAGTTAAATTAGAAGCGTTACGTAAGTCTTCCGTAATGATTTAACAGATTACGTAACGAAAGGTTAATATTCATTACGTAAAATGAGTGTCTATTACGTAAGGTTTCCGTAATGACATTTTTCAACTATTACGTACGATAAACACACATTACGCAACCATTACGTAATGCCTATTGTATTTTACGTAATGCAATTGCAACTTGTAAAACCTGTTATAACAGGTAAAAAAATATCAAATTACCATAACTTCAAGGTATTGTAGGAATTTTCTATGATATTATATATGGTAATTCATAAATGAATTATGTGACTTTTAGCTTGAAATTAATTGCCCCAAACAAGGAGTCCGTCACATGCACACAATAGACAGGACAGAAGAAAATGAGTGTTCATTGAACAAACCCAAGAAGACTAGCTAGCTAACTGATGTATCGATAACGACATTTCTTCTTCTCAATTTCCCCTTAAACCTAATCTTAAATTATCACAAGGGACCCATATTAGAGGGAGTGATGCCAATATTAGACCTGTCCCAACCTCATTGGACCAGGCATTAATTACCTGATCGAGAGTAATATATTGCAGGACATATATATGGGTATATTTCTAACCTGTCACGCCCCATTTTATCCGTTCTCGTTCCCTTATATCATTTTTTACATCGATATCTATATGTATTTCTCCTCATTTAATATTTCTAAAATCATATTTTGATTCCAAAAAAATTTTAAGATTACTTTTCAACTATTTAGACTCAAATAATCATTCCACTATATTTCTCAATCATTTATGAAATATCTTCTCTTTGTGTTATTGTAATTTGTAACAGAGTTAAATAACAATTTATTTCTTTTCAAATACTCATATAACAATTGATCGATCCGTTAAACTCCGTACCGCATAAATATTACCCGACCTGACTTGTACTTACTGCCTAGACAAATATTGATATGGAGAAATCTGCGCAGCCTTATTACCATCACTAAATACTAAATAGGGCGGCCAGCCTTTTCAAATACTCATCTTCCTCTGCTGCTTGCTTTCATAAATAAAAATCAAGTGGGCCTGCATGTCTTTGTGTAGTAGTATATAAATATGTAAATGACTAAACTCTAATGGTTTTGGGCCCGTTTCTTAATCCAGGACAGGCTTATCTTCTCGGCCCGCATTGAAACCCCTCCAGTCTTCCGACCTATTGGGCTTGCTAGCCACTGTCCCACACTGCATTTTGCAGAAATCACTGCCTTGACCAATTTATCTGTTCGGTTTTCCGCTTAACCTTTGGTTCTTTTGGAAGGGCTGAGGGCACATATGTCTTTGTCACGTACCGTCACAGAAAACGTTAATCTATTCATTTCATTCCATTCCATTCCATTCCATTCAATGTCAATACATATTTTGTACCATTTCTTCTTATCATGAAATGTAGCTTACTGCTTACACCATCTATTTAAGCCTTACTGTGTCGATGCGATGACATCGAATCAGACGATCTTGAACATTTGGGCCCATTTAGGCTCGCGCTTGGGCTCATTTGTCATGACCAAAATTGGGCATAGGTTTCTTTTGAATCATCGCAAGAAATGGGGAGAGGCAGCCGGGTGGATGGCAAATTGGCAACAGAGTATTATATAGCAACGCAAATGTGCATCTGTCGTTAGATAGCGCAGATATGGACAAACACGTATAAATATAACAAGTACGACTCTTACTGCCTACTTTCTCCACAACTACTTCAACAGTGTCAGCCCCATGAATGAATGAATGCTGCTTGCACAACACAAATCCCGCACACCCTTTCACCGCTCAATTCTGGGGGTTAGTTTGCTTGCTGCTGCATTTCCCGATTCCGCCTCCGCGATATCGAACCATAATCACTACTGGTTCTATCAGCAATGAGGACGGGGGCGGCGGCGGCATCGTCTCATTTGGTCACATTGCCGTCCTGGCACGACAGGAGGCTTCATAATAATCTGCACCCAGGTGATAGCTAGATAGATAGATTAATCGATCGATCTTAACATGTTTGATATGCCAATGGCTAATGATAATATGTGAAATCCTTTCTTTCAATCAGCTTGTTGTGTTAAGCTGCGGACGAAAGCTCATCATCAGGTGGTGGCGATGAACAGAAACGAGTCACGGTTACACGAGGCATCGAAATTTGGGTGCAATTCGGCCACCAGAGGAATTTGTCGACGTTGCAATCGGCAGGTAGTGTTTAGTAAGGCTGGAGTGAGTTTGCAGGAAGGGTTTGGCTCGTTGCAAGAGGATGAAGGGAGTGGTGTGGTGGAGAAATTGGAGGCCTTTTACAGGTTCTCTCGTCCTCACACAGTCATCGGCACCGTGAGTTCCGACATCTTTAAATTTACAAACACTTACACTTCACAGTATACTGTAGATTGGGTTGTGGTTCAAAATTCATCTGGTTTTGTTGTTTCGATCAGGTCATCGGGATAACATCAGTGTCACTGCTTCCCTTGCAAACGAGCAGTGAGATCTCTCCTGCGTTTGTGATGGGTTTGATCAAGGTTAGTGAGGACTGAATTTCTTGACCTTCTCGGCCATTTTTTTCAATAGTTTTGGAATGTTGATGTGATTCTGGACTTGCTTGCTGTGAATCGTTTTGGGCAGGCAGTGGTGCCGTCTGTGTGCATGAACATATACGTCGTGGGATTGAACCAACTGTTTGATGTGGAAATTGACAAGGTAGGTAAAAAGAAAACACACATTGATTGCAATTACCACGCTTGGTTAGTGAAATTCTGAGGTTGTTCTTGAGGCAGGTAAACAAACCCACTCTGCCACTGGCTTCTGGTGAGTTCTCGATGGCAACTGGGGTTACAATTGTTGCTGCATCTCTAATCACAGTAAGTGACTGATGTAATCCATTTTGATTTGAGGATTGGTACTGGTTAACATGTGGCTGATGAACACTTTGGATGCAGAGCCTTTACATGGGGGTGAAATTTCAGTCCCCTCCTCTTCTGGCTGCCTTGCTCATTAGCTTTCTGCTTGGGAGTGCATACTCTGTTGAAGTAAAAGCTTACTTGGCATCAACCCTTTGCTGCAATATTATATGAACAGGGTTTAGTTGAAAACTTAACACAATTTGACCTTTAAAATCTTGGTGATCATTTTGATGTTGTAGCTTCCGCTTATGAGATGGAAGAGGCATGCATTTCTGGCAGCCAGTTGCATCTTGATCGTGAGGGCAGTCGTCGTCCAACTAGCTTTCTTCATACACATGCAGGTCCAGTTATTCTCTTAGTTCCTGTTTTTTCCATGTCTAACACATATCCTCAAGAACAATAACAAGGAAATCTATACAAATATGTGCAGAAATTCGTGCTTGGAAAACCAGTAGCCATTACCAGGACCTTGGTGTTTGCCACTGCTTTCATGTGCTTCTTCTCAGCTGTCATTGCACTCTTCAAGGTACAAACCCCAACTTCCAAATGAGTTTGCTTTGTCGCTATATATATGTAACCTTCTGGCCCGATACCTTTCATTTTGTTACATTGCAGGACATACCTGATCTGGATGGAGACAGGGACTTTGGAATCCAATCTTTCACTGTCAAGTTGGGACAAGAAAAAGTAAGGTTTTGGTAGAGAGAATCAATACAAGTAGCACTGTTTGTTTTATGGCAACGAATTTGTCCTGGCTGGTTGACTTTCTGGCATTGCTACTAATCTTAATGAATTAGGTGTTTTGGGTATGCGTTCAACTGCTATTACTGGCGTATGGAGCTGGCGTGGTAATGGGTGTTTCTTCTCCATGCCTATCGAGCAAGATAATCACTGTATGAATATAGATCAAAAGGTCTTTTGGTTTCTTAATTGCTGCGTTAGAGAGAGTGAGTCTTTGACCAATTGATGCAGGTTGCAGGCCATAGTACACTTGCAGTGATGTTGTGGTTGCAAGCACAATCAGTGGATCTCACCACCAACACTTCCATTACTTCTTTTTACATGTTCATCTGGAAGGTAACTTTTGCCCCCGATTTCTTTCCTATCACTTCTTTCCTCGTTGTTTCAGCCATGGCAATTGATGTTCTTTTCTTTGGATTTTTTTCCGCAGCTGTTCTATGCAGAGTACTTCCTCATTCCTTTCATACGCTGACGAGGATCAATATCGTTAAAATCCGAGAAATGCAATGCTTATTGTCGATGATAGTCTATGTTGTTTATATTAGGTGCTTTGCTAGTTGTTGAGGAGGAATTTGTAACTCTAAATCCAGTAGTTTTATCCCAAAGATAATTTTTTGACATACTTATGGTATTTTAATGGTTTTATCTTATGTCGATCTCATCTCTTGATTCACATCTAATGAACAATTGTACATGGCATGGATAATGTGGAGTAATTAGAAGACTAAGAAGATCTGATAACTTATCATTTTATTTGTGATGTTCTCTTGATTCATATTTAATGAAGAATTGTACATGGATGAATAATGTGGAGTAATTAGAACACTAAGAAGATCTAATAACTTATCATTCTATTTGTGATATTTGTATGACGGTCCACACAATTTTATCTCATAACAAATAACAACGACGGAAAGATCAATTATATTCCCTAACGAATTATATTACGAAATCTTATATGTAAGTGGATCCATAACAAACAACTTCATAGCATCTGGCCTGTCCTTGAAACATTATGGGCCCATGTACAGTGCATAACCACAAAGCCCGCACAGAAAAGGCCCACTTAGCGGACTACCAAATATAAAGACCTATAAAATCCCATACTCTCGCTGCCTTAGGGTTTCTTTCTCCTGTATCAGAGTAGCAGCCGCTCCAGCAACATCTCACCGTAGCAGCATCTCGCTAGGTCAACTCCAAGGAGGCGAAAATGGTGGGTTTCTCTTCAATCTCTTGCTTCCTCCTCATCTTCTCGAATCTCCCCTTCCATCGTTTTGAAATTTAACTTGTAAAACTTTGGCTGACCGCCGATGTGTTTCTCGTTCGTTATGAATTTGCACAGCCGTCGCACAAGTCGTTCATGATCAAGAAGAAGCTGGCGAAGAAGATGCGCCAGAACAGGCCCATCCCTTACTGGATCCGCATGAGGACCGACAACACCATCAGGTGAGCGCTCGCGCGTTTTTGTGGTTCCCTGGGTTTCTTTGTGGTGCTAGGGTTTGAATCGATTGGAAAATTTGTTTTTGCTGTGGGATTTTGCAGGTACAATGCGAAGCGCAGGCACTGGCGTAGGACCAAGCTTGGGTTCTAAGGTGTTTGTTTGGGTTTTATTTCAATTCCCTTTTCTGTTGGAACCCTTTTCTGTTTTTTCCGAATGAATTAGCAGTGGTTGAGGATAGTATTGAACAATCTGTACTGGGATTATATTTTTGTTCTGGCGCAAAGTTTCTATGCAGTCTGTAAGGGTTTCATTTCGATGATTCTCTGTTAGTCACTTAATTGTCTTTCTAGTTTGATTTTGTGCAATTGAATCGTGTTTGGCAAAGCATCATAGGCTTCTGTGGATCTTACAGTTATCTTGCTACGTTGGTTGTGAGAACGGATCGATTCCTCTGTGCAAGAATAGTCTTCCCCAATATTATTTTGGATTTGTTTCCCTACTCTGTTCCTTCTTTCAGATGGTCAAGTTAATCTAGGGTTTCATCTCTTTTGGGAAAGAAAAAGAGAGATGGTGCAACCGTGTTTGATCTGTGACTGTATCACTTCATTTATTTGACCATTATCCTTATGTTTATCGTATTGAAGTTTAGAACAATTTGCTAAGTTTGACTACTAGAGAGTGTCTATTCTCCTAAGATCGTCTTTTGAGTTTAACTTACCAACTGCAACTTTGCACTTAACTCATGCCAGTAAGTATATGTGTGGCAAATACAGTGTGCATAATCCGGTAAACTACTAGATAACCTTGCAGAATCATGGCGCTGTGCCTGGAAATGATGATTGAGAAACCGTCGAGCAGATTAAGAACTCTGACCTGCTGTACTTGTGATGAGGCAGACGATGGTCTTTCATCTTTTGTGTTTCTGGACAGAAGGGCCAGTTGATTGCTGTTGGTGAATGAATGTGTTTCCAATTAAAAGTAGGAGTTGATTGATTGTACCACTTTCTTAGTTTCTTTATAGTTGGTGGGCACAAGAAGGGTTTGCAAAATTTGGTTTCGAGTGCATGTTTAAACATTATAGCATGATTTTCTGCACTCTTTTGTGGTTGATAAAAGAGTAATCTTTAGCGAGGAAGCCTAGCTGAGGGTAAAAGAGTTTACTGAATATTACATTAACACCTTTTAATTAATGAATTAATAATACATACATATATCATCCTTACAAAAAAAATATACATAAATGACGGTAAGCTGCACATAATAACACTGATTAGACCAACGAAATACAATTCAATTTAGCAACCCAGAGACGTCGAGTTTATGATGAATCGGTGGACAAGTGGCGGCAGCAGATCCGGAGAGGGAGAGCAAGAACTCGCGGGAGTAGTGCCGGCGTGGTCGAATCTCAGTTGCTGCTTTCGCAATAATGGGGGCTTCTTGCTCTGTAATCGTGCCTTGAGCGGGAGTGTGCAGTCCGCCGGTCAAGAAAGAGGGGAGAGGCAAGGAATCCGGTGGCGGTGAAGGCACGAAGAAGGACGCCCCGCTGTAGTAGACTACTTTCTTCTTCTCCGTGCAGTTAGAATCAGAGCGTTGTCGTTGGCACTGCAGCTTCTTGTCGGTCGTGGTGGTGGTCGTCGTCGTCTTCTGCTTCTTGGCTAGATTCTGGCGGGGAGGGGACGGTGACTTCGATGGTCGCGGCATGACTGAGTTGATGCTGGAGCTCTTTTGACTGCTTCATTTCCGGTCATAGCCGCCGCCAATGCGGCTGCAGATGGGAGTGGAGAAACCGAGTCGGGGTTGTAGGAGGCGCTTCGATGGCGGTGGAGTGGGGAGCAGTCCACCGCAGGAAGGTTTGAACACCATCGATGTCGGCGGTGGAGTTGGGAGCAGTCCGCCGGAGGAAGGGTTGAACACTATGACCGCCATTCTCAGGAAACGAGAAGGACTAGCTACGGAAGTAATTGAGAAGACGGCAGAGAAGAACGAATGGAAAGTGGAAACAGAGAGTTAAGTATTGCTAGCAACAGGGGAGAGGAGTGTGAGTGTGTGAGAAAATGAGAGTTGCGTTTGGTGGCTTTATTTTTATAGGCTCTCAGTCTGACGACTCCTTTTCTGTGTGGCATTCGGTTTCCTCTTTTTCCCTCTGCTGCCATTTTGGGGTTTCCGTTTCCGTTTCCGTTTCCGTTTAGGATTTCCACATTCGGACAATGAGAAAGGCTGGAAACAGTCAACTCTGGCTAGCCCATTTCGAGTTTATAAATTAATGGGCCAACTCCAGCCCAGTCATCATCGGATTATCCTATAAAATGAAAAGGCTTTTGTATTGTGAGCCAGGGCCATGAGGTGTCCATGTCTCAGAAATTTGAAAAAGCAATAAACAAGATAGAGGGAGAATCAGAATTCAGAATCCCACGAGCTTCCCACCAGGCACCAAGGAATTTGAAAAGAAAGTAGAAAATTGGCCACAAGTTCTTTTTTTTTTTTTCGTAATTAGATTTAGATGTATGCCAGAGCTAATTCGATTCTTCAATTTTTCTAGCTTGGTTGTTTCGGTAGATGAAATTTCTATTTGGTCAAATTGATTCTACAGCATTTTTTAGGCGGTTTAGTAAACATAGACTTCCTATTTCATAATCATCACAAGTAATGTAAATTTATGTGTCTATGAATAAATTTGATTTTTCCATAACATCTATGGTTTTTTAAATTGTCGATGTTTTGTGTCAAAACACACTTAAACGATTTAAGAGCCATGTTTGGATCACTTGCACATAATGGAATTCATGGTAATCAAGATTTATCTAAAAGGAACCTAGAGTGATACTAATCACTTGCTTGCATGTTTGATAGAAAGCAAACAATTGTTAAATTATTATCGGGAACTCGATCACCAATAATAGAAGAAGACATTTTAAATATCCACTAATGGTAGATTTTAGAAACTATTGCTATGTGGAAGAAATTTAAGATTTGCAGTTTCCTAAGGTTAGAAGATACGATGTGATATATGAGATTTTGAGATAAATTCTAGTTGTTGAAACTTGTAATTCAACTTTATAGAAGGTCACTTAATCTTGATTCATACAACACAGACAACTAAATTTAATGACTATATTTGGAAAGGTGTGTAGGTGAGGGGAGAGGAAATACAAATCTTATCAAATTTACTTCTCCTAATTGCCAATTAGGTGATATATATTGTTTTAACCCATTGTAAAATTTATGGATCAAAGGGACAAAATTAGGGAAGTTAAAGGTTCAAATTGACCTTGTTGTCTTAAAATATATGCAAAAATAACCTTCTGTTTCTGCTGGCTCGCCCAACAGGCCACTCATCATCGTCTTCGTACAAATCGCCTCTCCCCACCATTTCATAGTTCCCTTCTCCTTTATTCATCTCATCTCCCAACCCAAGCAGCTGAAAACAGCAGCAGTAGCATCGCCATTTCCCCAATTACAGTCGAGTCGAGGCATTTCTCCCCCTCTCACTCGCAGGTAAACACTTTGCTCTCTTCGTCTCCCCTTTGGAATCTCTTCCTTTCTACCCCCAATTCGTGATCCATTCTCATTTCTCCTGGTAGCCATCAAGCAAAGGGTTTCCCCGGTACCAGTTGCAGCCACCGAGCTGCATCCCCAGCTCTGTGAAATCTGATTTTTTTCCCTCCTCGTTGTGTTTTCAGATGGCGTCCAGCGTTATCTCTGCTGCAGCTTCTGCATCTCCTTCGGCTTGCCCTGTCACTGACCTTCTCAAGGTAAATTGTGATCCCTGCCCTTGTGACTCTGAGACGGATTGAACAACTCGTGGTTTCGCTCAGATCATCGCTTATGACTTTTAGCATATAGCATAGATGGCACTAGATTGATTGATGCTAAAGTGATCATCTTTTGAATTGGGTCAGTAGACTATGTGCGTCTATGTGAGTAACCGCGGTTCCTTTTACCAGGGGAAGGCAAAACTTGGGAGTGGCAATGTCGGTTCTTTGTTCATCAAGGACAAAGGCAATCCCTTTCTGAACTCAAAGGTACTTACTTTCTGCTTGTGGGTTTGTGATTTTCTTTCCCCAATTAAAGTAGCAATTCTGTGTTACACTGAGATGGTGGATTAATCGGGGGATTATGGCTTGTGCTTTTGGGTTTGTAACTTACTGAGTTTTGTTTCGGCTTTTTTCTCGCTTGCAGTCTTGCGGGAGGATTACTATGGCTGTTGCTGTCAATGTCTCACGTTTTGAAGCCATTACTATGGCTCCACCTGACCCCATTTTGGGAGTTTCAGAAGCTTTTAAGGCGGACAATGATGAAAAGAAACTCAACCTTGGAGTTGGTGCTTATAGGACTGAAGAGCTACAGCCTTATGTGCTTGATGTTGTTAAGAAGGTGAGCTAATTTTCATTTCATTCAATCTGGTGAATGTTTTCCCAAATGACACACTGGTTTTGTCTTTTCTTCTTCAAACAGCTGAAATGATTTGTTGATTGGTTTTTGCCCCAGGCGGAGAATCTTATGCTGGAGAGGGGCGAAAATAAAGAGGTATCAAACCTGCGTCAATGAATTGAATGATTATTCTGTTTTTTTTTAATGATAATCTAAATTGATATTCTTAGTTGACTTGTCTTTGGCTGATTTTGCTTATTTGATCGCAGTATCTGCCCATTGAGGGGTTAGCAGCATTCAATAAGGCGACTGCAGAGCTGTTGTTTGGAGCTGACAGCCCCGTGATCAGTGAACAAAGAGTATGTGCTATAATGTTGCAACCTTATATTTTTGCTCTTCACCTACAGCTACCAGGCTTCAATAATGCACTTATTAATTATCTTTCGCATGAAACCAAATTCAGGTCGCCACAATTCAAGGTCTCTCCGGAACTGGATCCTTACGGCTAGCTGCAGTTTTAATCGAACGATACTTCCCGGGTGCAAAAGTTTTGATTTCCTCTCCAACTTGGGGTCAGTAATGTTTACTCGCTTGAGATCATTTCTTATCCTTCCTGAAGATGCGTAACTAACATACCCCCCATATTTCCAGGCAATCACAAGAATATTTTCAATGATGCTAGAGTTCCATGGTCCGAGTACAGATATTATGACCCAAAGACAGTTGGTCTGGATTTTGAGGGCATGATAGAGGACATAAAGGTAAGTTCTTAAGAATATTACATTGTTTTTCAATCAATGTACACAGAATAGAATGAATTCAACTTCAAATTTTCTACAAGACATTCAGCTTTATTGGATTTCTCCTTTTAGGCCGCTCCTGAAGGATCATTTGTGTTACTTCATGGTTGTGCTCACAACCCAACCGGCATTGATCCAACCCCTGAACAGTGGGAGAAAATTGCAGATGTTATTCAGGAGAAGAACCATATCCCCTTCTTTGATGTTGCATATCAGGTATTATATCCTATATATCTTTCACTTTTGTTAACCTCTAAACCCCTTTTCTCCAACCAATCTACCTATTGGGCTTGATAACACTTGAATGTGTAACTCAGGGATTTGCTAGTGGGAGCCTTGATCAAGATGCAGCATCAGTAAGACTATTTGCTGCTCGTGGCATGGAAATTTTTGTTGCTCAGTCATACAGCAAAAATCTGGGCCTCTACTCTGAGAGAATTGGTGCTATCAACGTCGTCTGCTCATCTTCGGATACTGCAGC